CCTGGCATATTTGGATTTGTTTGGGGTTTTTTTGGTACCAGGGATCAAACTCGGGACCTTGCGCTTTCGAGGCAGGCGCTGGAACCACTGAGCTAAATCCCTGGCCCTATTTGGTTTATTTTTTAATCGTTCTACATTTTAGATTCTCAGTTCTTTGAAATTCACTCCGTATGCATAGAATTAGGGACTATACAAAAACAAAAAATAGAAAAAAAAAATAGGAAATTTCCCCTTCTCCACAATAAGGTCAGAAGGAGGATGCATCCAACAGATTTGGAATTGCTGGGATTTATGCCTGGCTTTCTGGAAAAGGGGTCACTCCGGGGTCTCCTGCAGCCCCATCCCAGGCAGTCACACTCAGGGGTCCTTGCGCCAGCACAACCCTGCCTCTCTTCCTGCTCCACGTCCTGGGAGCTGAAGCTCAGGGAGCTCTGCAAGCCAGGGAGGAGGCGGGCTGGGAACTGGGGCTCACTGAACACATCTTCAGGCACAAGGAGGGGGAGAGGAAGTCGCAGGGTTTAGCAGAGCCGGCAGATCTCAAAATCGCTCAATCTCAACCAGACAGATTCAGGTCCTCCCGCTTCTCAGTTGAAGAGGCGTGGCAGCACAGAGCCCTTTCTTATTGTTTTTATTAACTTTGACCCAAATCTGTCTGAGGAAGCACTTAAAGCCTAGGAGCAGTCTTGTCTCCTTCCTGCCACCCCTTTGCCAAGGGAAGGTGGGGGGGTGGGGGTGGCTAGGAGCTCCAACAGTAGTCATCACTGCAGATCCTCTCTGCATGCAGTCCTGAAGGTACCCTGCACACCTAATCTTTCTTACAGATGAACACTGGAGTTTCAGAAAATGGAATCTTCACCAGCTCCTCCAAAATAGGCTTACAACAAGGCATTCCTCAGTTTCTACAACAAAAAGCCTCCGTGCACATAAATGTGGCTTAATGGCTTGCAAGGCCGGCTGGGTCTCCAGGACACCATGTGTGTCTCTGTTGTGCTTGAAGGCCTCCAGCTCAGGCCACGGTGGTGCCTTGCTAGGTCCCTGAGGAGCTCTGGTTCCCTCCTGGACCCTCATCCACTCTCTGCCAGCCCCAGGATCTTGAGCAACTCCAGGGTAACCCCAGCTTTGTAGCTGGAGAGTTTGCAACAACCTTCAGAACGTATGCTCCAGACTCTGGTTTGCTTATTGAAAAGCAAATTATCTTCTAATACATAAACAGCTATCAGACCACAGCCAACTTAAAACCCAGTGAAATGTACAGGGGTTTGTGTGCTTGTGCTAGTTGAAAGTGGAGCCTAGCTTCTCCAATAGCTTGTATTTTTACTTATTCTGTCACTTAAATAAAAAGTCTTACAAAGAATTGTATGAATCAAGTGTTTATCCAAAGTTTAACAAGACAACAAAAGCATTTAGCTCAAGCTTTTCAATACGGAAATGAAAATATCAATATCCTTCCTATACGCACAGATACATATTCAGTGAGATGATGGGTGTAAAGATTTTAACAAATGTTGGAAACACAAAGGAATACTAATTATTATCATTACTGTGGGTAATGTCATTCTACCTGTTGTGACACACGCAAAAAACTGAAGAAAATGTTGTAAAGAAAAATTATAGCACCTGAAACTTCTCTTCAAACATCTTTAAATGTGAATTTCTTAGATGTCAGCTTCATATCTCTCACACAAAAAAAAAATTCATCAATTTAATTCCTCAATCACATACATGACTGCCTCCATGAAATTGTTCATTTTCAAGCTACCTATTTATGTATTTGGAATTAATTTTAGAATTACAGAAAGTCACAAAGATATTGAGAGACAGTTCTCATCTTTCCCTCTGCAGCTTTTATTTTATTTTAATTATTTTACATAACCCTGGCGCACTGGGCAAACGTGGGACATTAGCACAGCGACAGTCCTGCCGACCACAGACCTCTGTCACTCAAGCTTCACCCCTTTCCCACTGACGTCCCTTTGTCAGCCCCAGATCTGATCCAGGACCCCTTGCTGCATGAGCACTTGAGTCTGGGTCTCCCACAGCCTGATGGGTCCCTCGTCTTTCCTGGTCTCCCCTGACAGCTACGTTTCTGAAGGGCATGGGTGACTTGCTTGATGGAGCATCTCCAACTTAGGTTTCAAGGGACTAGATCAAGGTGAAGCCCTCGGTGAGGAGCCCCACAGGAGCAATGCTGTGTCCTCAGTGCGGGACCGTGTGTGTGTGTGTGTGTGTGTGTGTGTGTGTGTGTGTGTGTGTGTGATGTCCTGGTCCTGTCCCTGGGGACGCTGGCCTGAATCACTTACAGCAGGGTTCTGCCAAGTGTCTCCAAAGCACGGCTATGCTCTTGCGCTCTGTCCTTAATAAACATCTCGAGGGACAAGGCTGGAGACCATGCAAACCCTGGTTCTTGTCACCCACTAACCTTAGCATCTCCCCATCATGGATATCTTTGTAACAACTGCTGCTGCTACTGTGTGTGTCCTCCTAATGGGGCTTTTCTATTTCTTCACTGCATCTTAGTTTGCCTCCCCACCCCATGCCACCACCCTTCATTGTGTGAACTATTCCTTCTCTTCCTTTTCAAGAAGATGTTTATTCTCATCCTTAGCAGCATTCATAGTACAGCTGTCCTCCCTTGCAAATCCCAGCACATCTTTAAGGCACTCTAGCAACAGAACAAAACCCAAAGCAACACTGTTTTTTATTAACTGGCTAACTGGGCCATCCCTGGGTAGTAAAAATTAAGATGGAGACTGTACAAGAAGGGGAGGAGGACTTTACGAGAATGAAGATGCGTTATGCACATGTACCAACCGGCCCCCACAATGGGTGTAATCATTATGGACTTCAGATACATGCTAATAAAAATAGAAATTTACAAAACAGATTGCACAGAGATTAATTTCATTTAGAGATTAGTGAAAACTAAAATTATCTTTTTTTCAGGCCCCTCAAACCTGGCTGATCAGATCTTGCGACTGAACTCCATCAGTGCAACTGGCCATAGCCCCAGGTAAAGGCTGAGGTCTATGTTTCCGTTTATGCCGCCAGCCAGTGCCGCACTGCAGAACCCGTTTTTCCTGTCTTGGATTCCGTAAGCATTTGGATCAGCACGGGGCAAAGAATGCCGAAGGCCACCTTGGCTGCAGCCCCAGGATAGACGAGGTTCTCCCGAAGACAGGCGACTGGCGCCATCTAGTGGAGCCCTGACCACCAAACCGTCTCAAAAGACAAGTCTGTTCAGAGCACAGCTGCTACCTATCATAATCAGAGGCCGGCGTCCTCGCCTGCGGGACAACCCTCAATGCCACTTTAGCTCCAGAAGGCACTAAGACATCCCGAGAGGAGGGAGGGGCAGGGTAAGTGCAGATCGCAGCATGGAGGGCACTTCCCAAATGAATGGAATACCCACGGGGCAGAGGACAGGCAGGGTTTGCCAGGAGCCTGACAGAGGCCCGTGGTGGAGGCCTAGGCTCAGGAAAGGAGGCAACAACATCAGAAGCCCCTGGACCAGGCTCTGCCAAGGCTGGCATGACAAGGGGCTCCAGCTTAATCCCGCACGCGCTGCTGAGGTCCTCTTGTGTTCCCGCATCTCCTCACTTGAACAGTGAAGCATCAAGCGGGGGCCTCGCTGCCCCGAACTGATTCATACCAGGAAGCTGTGCACAGACAGAGAGGCCTGCTGGTACGAGAGCCAAGATGGGACGGTAGGGAGGCCCAAGGGGAAGAGCAGGAAACACCCAGCAGGCTGGGGACCTTTCCCTGACCCCAGCTCACACAGCAGCACCCCGGCCGCCCCCCAATCCAGGCTTTCCATGGAGCCTGCAGACCCCGAGTGCCGGGAAGAATTCTGTGCCAGCAAAGCTGTCCACAGCTACTCTCGCCCTTGGCCCACGCTAGCCCCTTTCCCAGGAGGCCTGTGCACACCTGAGGCTCAGGTCCTCTTCCTCCCCTCTCCCCACCCCCAGCCCCTTCTCTGGATGCAGTGGTTTTTCTGTGACGTCCCCGGGGCTGGGCATGACAACCGCATGGTCTGGAGTCTCACCTTGCACTAGGAGCTCAAGACCCCTCCCTCCCTAGACCTGGATGCTGCAGCCTGTTCACGCATGAAGACCACAAGGGGGCTCTTGAACAGCAGAGGGCAGAAACCTGACCTTGGTGCTTGCAGAAAAGCAGGAAGAATGTGCCTGGCATCCCAACATCGGTTGCTTTTCATCACTTTTCATTTCATCTCATTCCCTTCAGCTCTTCAGGACAGACAGCACCCATGAGCGCATCTTGGTCACTGACTAACATGGGACAGGAAGACAGAGGCAGGGACATTCTGGGCTGTTGTTCCCAAGGACTTACTCTCCAGAGAGTTCCATGCAGCCCATCTGTCCCCTCAACTCAGGGGCCTCTGGGTCACCCTGAAGCAACGGCCCAGGTTCTCCAGAACACAAGGTCCTCTCTGCTCTCTCGTTTGCTCAAAGTAGAGCAAAATAAAGCAAAACAGACACTAGGACTTGGCATGAGGACCCACTCCACTCAGAGTAAAGGACAGGCGCTTCCTTCCCCACGTCCGGGGGCACGGACTACAGATCCCGCTGGGGACTCAGCCTGGATGAGCCCTTGAGGTGCACAGGCCCCAACCCCCGCCACTTTCCCTGTGCTGTGAAGAGGTTCCAGAGTCCAGGTGCCAGCTGAGGAGAGGCCTCTACACTGCCTGCTGTCTCCTTGGGACCCGGATGCTGTCACCAGCATGACACCATCCTTAAGCAAGTTCCAAAGGATCTCCCAAATATAGCCCTTTGGAAGCCGGAAGAGCGTGAACTGGCAGCCGATATAGATTGAAAACACGGTGTAATGAAAACCAGGAACACCTTCTAACCAGCTTTCACAGTTCTGATAGTCTCCCTGTGGCCCCAGCGTGGACAGTGTGACGCACCATGGAAAGAACGCACTGCAGGGGCCTGGCTCCCAGCAGCAGGACCTGAGCTCAACGCCCTCACTGCAGCTCTTACCTGATATTTTGATTGGACTTTGAAAGCTGGGTTGAATTTTATGTACATTATCGTTTTTTAACACCTGGTCCAGGGGAGATCTTTCAAAGAAAGTGAGCACCACTTCCGACCTAGAATACTGGGAAGAAACACGGTAATTACTAAAACTGAGAAGCTCCAGAAGTCGGCCCATCTCTGCCTGGTGAGGACGCCACCGCTGCGCCTCTCAGAGAATGACCCCAGTGCTTTCCACCCTGATGCGGGACCGCAGCACCGGCTTAAGTCACTTCGGGCCTTAGTCACTGCCACCTCTTGTTTATTTACGGCCCCAGGCAAGGCTGCAGGGATGTAATGGGGTTTAAGGAAACAGCGGCTCCTACTTCTTCAGGAACCCAGAGCTGCATCCACTCTCCCCAATTCCCAGATACAAAAACAGAAGCTGAAAGGCTTTTCATCACTGCTTAGCCCAGATATTTAGTCAAGGGAGCCACGGCCAAGCAATGCCCCCGCCCAAAGTGCCCTCCAGCCAGCAGGACAAAAAGGAATTCCCGAAGTTAAATTTTCTCTTTAGCAACTCAAGCTTTCTCCAGGCTTCCTCGGGCCTAGCCCATAAACCAGCACCCTCTCCTCTCCCAGTCCAGATGAGTGGGCAGAACGGGCAGATGCGGCACCCGGAAGTCAAGACAGTTTCCATTCCACAGGGAAGAGAGGGACAGGTCGGTCCAGGAAGGCATGGAACAAGTCTGGACGTGTCTGTTGTCACAGCAGTGCCCTGGGTATGAAAGACCCTGACACACCTGCATGGGGTGAGATGGGGCTTGGGCTTGTGAGCAGAGGTGAGAAAGGAGACCACTGCAGCCCGCAGAAGTCTTCCCTTCCCCTGATCATGTCTGTCACTTCCCTGTCGCCCACAAGGCTGAGTGACATGCAGTATGTAGGTCCACTCTTTGGGAGGATGGAAGCCTGTGAAATCTGGAAGTGGATGGCCCCACCCCTGCCAGGCCCGCCCCCTGCCAGGCCCCGCCCCCACCAGGCCCCGCCCCAGGTACTGACTTTACAGGGCATGCTGATGATCATCTTGAGCAACTTCTCCACTTCGTTGAGCCTGGTCTCTATGTCGTGTGCATTCTTTATGGCAACCAATCCTAGAACAGACACAGAAATGCTCAAAGTCAAAAAGCACAGGTACTCCTAAGTAAATTCACTACAGGCACCCCAAGACAAGGACACCACTTGGGTGTCCTCTTCCATAAGATGTCCGGGAGTACTGGGCTCCCCCTTATCTGAGAGGGATACCTTTCAGGGAAGTGTGGAGAGCGAAGGGTTGAAACAACCCTGAAAGACTCCTAAGCCCCTTGAGATTCTTGAGTCAGATAAGAACATAATGATCCAGGATATGAAACTGGTACAAAAACAAGGATGTTGACTTTTAAAGAAAACAACGAATATAGAAAGGATTTGAATGTTTGCTGGACAAGAAAGTAACATTCCCGGAATTGTAAAGATATATTTGACCTTTTCTCTGTAAAAATAATTAGTCACAAGATCATGAAGGGAGGAAGGGAGGGAGGCTGTGGGTGATGAAGGAGGATATATAAACGGCTCAATAAAGTGGGAAGGAGAAGGCCCTCGCTCTCTCCTCCCTTTCCTTTCTCTCAAGTTTGTGTTGTTTTTCTTAATCCTCACCCCTCTCCTCAGGTACTGTTCGTCTAGTGACGGCTGGCTCTGTCAGGGAAGCAGCAAAACAAGCATGAATTTCCTTTTCCTTCTTCACAAGTTTAAGATAGCCAGTTCCCCTTTACCACCCATTTTAGCAAATTCAGCATATGATTTTTTTTTTCCTTATTTGAGAACGGCCACCTTTTCACTTAAAGGAGGCCCTTCATGACTTCTTGACATATCTAGATTGCCAGCCTCACTACTCTTGCATTTGAGGTCAATTATTAAGTAAAATAAGCATTACTCGAACGTAAGCAGTGTGACAGCATGACAGCCAAACACCGAAACAGCTACAAGGACTAATGGAGAGGGTAGCATATATAGCACAGAAACACTGGACAAAGATGATTCATATCCAGGCAGGTTCACAATCTCATCATGCTATTCAAAATGCTGTGCCATTTAAAACTTATGAATTGTTTAGTTCTCTAATTTACGATTGAATGCTTTCAGAAAATGGGTTGAACATGGGTGACTAAAACAGTAGAAAGCAGAACTTCAGACTGGGCTACGGTACTCACTTAGCCTTGGTGTGTGAAGGTATATTCTAAAAGTCCTGCTCTAAACCGCCTTGAAAGTTTCATCAACCCAAAGAATGATTTATGTTCTCGCTGAGGTCGAAGCCATACATACAAAAAGAGGGTGCTTGAGAACAGCAGAGAGGTGTGAGAGCCCCTGGGTGGGGCATCTGGCCTACTCTACGCACACTCTAGACAAGACCTGAGCTTCACCCAGCACCACTCGGCCCCTGATGGAGCAGTGGCTGCAGTGAGGGGTGCCTGGCCCTGGACCCACCACCCTCAAAGACACAGGGAAGAGACCACTCTGATGACCAAGCTGTCCTGACCACAAGGCTGTACAAACAGAACCCACATTCAGACAAGCCGTGTAAATGCTGTGTCTGGAAGGAAAAATAAGTCAGATCTTTGCCCAGAGAAAAACACTGTGGGCATGACTCATGCACTTTCTAGGAATCCAACCATCTGTGCTTATTGTGGTCACCAGAGGCCCCGGGAGGCTATTAGGCAGTGTGGTAATTTATTTTTAAGACACTATATCTCAGCAGGTATGGTGGACGAGGCCTGTAATCCCAGCCCTCTGGGAGGCTGAGGCAGGCGGGGAGCAAGTCCAAGCCCAGCCTGGACAAGTTGATGATTTAGCAAGACCCTGTTCTGAAATAAAAAGTTAAAAAAAAAAAAAAAAGATCCCAGATGTAACCCAGTGCAAAGGCCCTATGTTCAACTCCCAGTGCTGCAAAGGACGTAGGGGAATCAAACATGGTGGGAAGAGCTGACAGGAAAACTAGAAACTACAGAGAAACTGGAGGAATTAAAGACAACTCAGAAAAGAACAAGTCAGCCTAGAATGCTAATGCAACTCCAGGGAGGAAGTCAGGTCTTAGCAAACACAAGCTCATCTTGTTCTCTCTCAGTGGTGCTGTGGGTCAAGCTCCCAGGAGAAGGCTGGACACTAAGAAGGCCCCGAAAGAGTACACTGAATAGGTTGAGAGGGGTGTAAACACCAAAACATAACCAAACCCAAGGACACATCACAGGGAGACAGAACCTAACTAAAGAGATCACGGTGGTGACAGTTTCTACACCCTGACTCATCTTCCACCCACAGCGCAAAAACAGTAGAAACATGAGCAAGCACAGAAGCAGGATGCCACCCAAACGTCTGGCTCCCCAAAAGCTGATCTAAGACACAGAAGCAGAGGAAGCAACAGGCCAAGAACTCAAAAACTAAATGGTCAAAATGTTTGAAGATATGAAACAAGAAACATAAACAAATGCCTAAGATATTTAACAAGCTCAAAGAGGATGGAATTAAACAGGTAAAAGATTCTACCAGTAAAATGTTCAAGAAGCCTAAAGAAGAGACAAACAATAGACTACCGAGTTAAGCAAGACAATACAAGATGTGAATGACGACTTCAGAAAAGAATTAGGAAATATGAAAAGAAAGCAAGCAGAGATAGATGACATGAAAAAATCCAAAGGAATCCATGGGTAGCAGACTGGACCAAGGTGAGGACAGAGTGTCAAAAATAGATGACAAGGTGAATGTAGTAGATAATGAACTCAACAGGACCCTAAAAATGACAAGAGACTGCAAACTGGATCCAATAGCTGCTAGGTGACTCAAAGAAACTAACCGCAGAATTACAGGAATAAAGAAAAAATTAGAAGATAACTCAAAAGGTATTCACTGAAATCAGAGCAGAAATTTTTCCAAACCTAAAGGAAAGATTCACTATTCAGGTAAATGAGGCACATAGAACCCCAAACAACCATGATCAGAAAAGAACGTTTCCAGGACAAGTCATAGTCAAAATATCAGAAATTCAGCACAAGGAGAGGATACTAAAAGCTCTCAGAGAAAATCACCTAGTAATCTATAAAGGTGAACTCATTAGAATAACAGCAGATTTCTCAGCACAACCCTTAAATAAAGGCCAAGAGTCTGGAGAGAAGCTTTTTAAGTCCTAAAAGAAAACAACTGTCGACCCAGACTTCTTTATCCTGCAAAATTAGCCTAAAAATCTATAGAGAAGTAGAAACTTTTTGAGACAAAGAAATAAAAAAGACATTCATGATTACTAAACCAGAATTGCAGAAGATATTTAAGAGAATTGTAGACAGAGACAAAATGGCCACCAGCACCACAGAGCCCTAAAGAAAACACACATCTATTTGGATTAGAACAGTAGTTAAATGAAAGGAAAAAAATAAATGATTCAACACTGGAAAAACAATGGGATGGCAGGATTCAATAAACACCTTAAAGTAATAACTCTCAATGTCAATGGTCCCAAATTACCAATCAAAAGACATAAACTAGCAGATTGGATAAAAAACAAAACCCAACAATATATTGCCTAAAGGAGACACACCTCATCCAAAAATAAGTACACAGACCTAAAGTAGAAGGGTGAAAAGTGATATATTCCATTCAACTGGAGCCTGAAAACAAGCGGAGGAGCTCTCTTATTTTCAGAAACAGTAGACTTAAAGCCAAAACTGATCAGAAGAGACAAAGATGGCCACCACATACTAGTAAAGGGAACAATTCAACAGGAAGAGATACCAAGTGTAAATATTTATGCACTTAAAGTCAGTGCACCTAATTTCATAAAACAAAAACTACTGGACTTAAAAGGACAGATTGACACCACTAAAAGCATAGTGGTGAGGGACTTCAATACCCCACTATCACAAGTAGACAGGTCAACCAGACAAAAACAATCAACAAAGAAATAGCATTAAACCACACCACTGAACACATGGACTTAGCATATATCTACAGAATGTTTCATCTTTTCTCAACAGCACACAAAACTTTTTCCAAAACAGACCATATCTTAGGTCATAAAGCATGCCTGAATACATGCAAAAGAATTTAAATAATCCCTTGCACACTAGACTATCAGATCATAGCAGGATGAGGCTAGAAATTAACAGCAAAAAATGTCACAGAAACTATGCAAACACATGGAGATTAAGTAATACATTACTGAGTAATCAGTGAATCACAGAAGAAATCAGGGAAGAAATAAAAAAGTTCCTAGACTCAAATGGCAATGGAAACACAACACAGCAAAACCCTATGGGACACAACGAAAGCGGTCCTAAGAGGGCAGTGAATAGCCATGAATTCACACATTAAAATAATTAAGTGATCTCAAATACATAACCTAATGATGCATCTCAAGGTCCTAGAGAGATAATAATGATCCAAATCTGAAACTAAGAAAATAAATTATAAACATCAGAGTGGAAATTAATGAAATTGATACTAAAACAAACAATACAAGGAATCAATGAATCGGAGTTGTTGTTCTCAAAGGATGGGGGAGACAGACAGGAGAGGAGGGAAACGGGAAGGGAAAGGGATCGAAAGTGATATACGTGTGTACGAATTCTCAACCATGAATGTATTTATTATGTATTACAAGAATATACTAATAGAAATTGAAAAAAAATAGCTCAAAGCATGGCGATTTGGGGTGCTCTTCTGTCTCCCCATGAGTGAGCGATACAAATGAAAGATTTCCCAAGATTACTTTTTCTGTCCATCAGAGAGAGAATCTAATTTCTAGCCCTAGGGCACTGGACTCTCCTCACACTGTGTGAGCTAAGGCAGTGGTGGCAAACCTATGCCACACGTGTTGGCACGTGTGTTACTGTGTTTTTCTTTTAAGACAAAAGATGTTAATGTAGAGCTGTTTTTTTCTAAACTTGAACCTCAGTATTCAGGTTTAATTGCAGTGTTGGTGCTTTGTGATAAATAAGTGGGTTTGGGGTTACAGTTTAGCATTTGGTCTCTAAAAGGTCCGCCATCGCTGACCCAAGAAGTCACTATGCCTGTGAGAAGAAATCAAACCACAGAGCACAAATCCCAGAACTTTGACCAGTTACTGAAT